AAAAGTTAAAAACAATGGTGTTATGTTTCATGACTATGGCGATATCTTTAATCTTCTAACTGAAGCTATTTAGAGATTGCTGAAACCACATCTGATAGAGTTCCAGAGAGGTAAGGTTATACGGAAAGCAGAGTTGTAGTAATCTGTGTTGGTTTATAAGAGTTGATGGAACTGAAAGTAGTGAAAGGATCGTGTAGAAATGACATTGGGTAGCAGTTCTATAGCGACAAGTTGGTTGTGTATCAGATACTATTTGGTAATTCTGTTGGTTTTTCTACATTTTTCTAGTGACCAATATGTTTAACAGGTCAGCCACACTTGATATGCTATGATGTCTGTTTGTTACAGAACAGATCTTCTCTGTACCCGCCCCAACGTTTCCTGGTAGTTGCTGTATGTATTTTGAATGCACGTAGATGTACGTCATTGTTCGATACTAGTGTAATCTTCCTCAAGTCCTCAGAGAGGGGTGTGTCTATAAGGGCGGCTCTAATGCGCTGGTGCCATACTGTCTGGGGTTATACAATTCAAATGTCCGCTGCTTTTAGATGAATAAAGTGTGGCCAGAAAATCGACCTCAGTCGATTGGAGAAAATCCGGCATGGGGAAGAGTCATGGAGACGAGAAACCATCATCAGATGGAGTGGAAAGCTCTCTCCTGCTTAAACGGCCGGACAACAAAGCCACAAAAATGATGGGTACATTATAGTGATCGTACTTAAACTAATAAACTAAGACTGTCTCATCATCACCACAATGAAGACATAACCGTTGCACAACGTGTGCATGCAATTAGCACATGCCTTACACAGTACAGTTTTCTTGTCTCATTTGAATTTTGTTGCAATCGGGGGCATAGTGGTTTATAAACACGTCTTGTTACTACTGTTTTCCTCAAGACTTTAATTGATCACAGCAGTCCCAACGGCAATACCGTAGATTAAGATTTTTCATATATGAATTCCACCTATTCTAATCTTCAAGGGAATAAAACTAACAGAGAAAACAAGGCTCCAAGCAGTATTCACAAAAAAAAAATGCAAAAGAAAAGAAGCTTGGGATGGCATTAAAACCATCTACAACTTATTTGTTAAGAACAGGTGCAACTTTTAACTCATATTTTAATAGTAAAGGGCCAAGGATTGAGCCCTGAGGCACATCGTTTAGTATTCCGGCACTCGACAAGATACCTAAATGTTCAGGACAGCTCGTTCAGTTCTCCTGGTATTTTTGCGTGATTTTCTAGTTTCATAAAAAGGCGGCTCTGAAGCACATTGTCAAATGTTCCTTGTGATTGCTCTATGGGTGGCATTATTGAGATATTATTGAGGTTTATGTTTGAGAGATTTCAATTTCCCACTGTGAACACTGAATGATATTGTTTATTCAGTATGTTAGCTTTAGTTTTTGTGTCGTTTCTAAAATTACCTTCACATCTTAGAGGTCCTTCCCCTGAACTACCTTTCTTCAGACTTCTGACATAGTTCCAGTTTTTTATCATTCTTGTCTGTGATAGTAGTGCTTTCATCATAACATATAAATATATATTTTCTACATATGTGCAGTAGGCTGCATGGTTTTCTCTTTGAAACGTTCGTTTTGCTCCTTCACATTAGGAAGTTTGTTTCAAATCATTGTCCTGTTCCTCAAAGTAAAAAACACGACCATCTAGACTTTCAATTAGTCCCCCGTTTTCTTTCATTTGAATTATCATGCCTTCCTTGACTTGAGTGAGTTCATTAAACATATAATCACGTTTTTCATCTGCAACAAGTATGATTTCCCGTTTTCCTTTACTGCTGCTCGTGCTCGCACTCCTGTAAGACACCATAAAGTACAGGTGAGGCTACCTATGTGTCACAAAATACAGTTTGGCTGATGCGGTCAGTATAGTGTTCACTAAACCTTCGCGGGATCTGGTCTGGAAATCAAGGGCACGACAGACTATTCTATATCAACAGCTTATCCCGATCTTTTCCTGCAGCGAAACCAACATATACAGTTTCCAACCAATGATAAGCGTAATTATTTTAATTTCACTTTTGTGAAATTGCCATTTCTAGATAGCAACATTCCCGCATCCCTAACATATGGTGTTCACATGTCACAGTTGATGCGATATTCAAGGACCTTATCGACGTTCATTTTGTGTTAATGGATATACACACACATATATGTGTGTGGTTGAATACAATAACAAATAAATCTATAAAACGTTCTATTTTGATGACGCTTTAAATGGAAAGAAATAGATTGATGAAAACTATGAGGAAGTTTCCAACTAAATTAGATGTTTTCTATGTTCATTAGTATGCATTTCAATTTTACAGGTATACTAACGAGTATTACACATGTCCCACTAAATCAGATGTTTTCTATGTTCATTAGTATGCCTTTCAATTTTACAGGTATACTAACGAGTATTACACACGTCCCACTAAATCAGATGAATACTGGGCTTATTAGTATGCCTTTCAATTGCGTTGATAGTAACTTTGTTCTCTTATTGCAAGAACAAATTGTAGACATATCGGTGTGTTCTTGTTATTATTGAATATATTGAATTTCAAAAAAGAACATACAACATGCCAAAATAAAAGCATGCGTCATCAAACAAGTACTGCCTAAATCAACCAGCAGTTCTTTGACAACCACGTATATTTCCGGCAGTTGTCGATACCAGTTGCGAAAATTTAAATATTAGGAAGAAGTATTAGAATAGCAAGGCTTACATGAATCTGTGATGTGGCCTATCGCATACCAACTACAAGAGTTAAACAATACAATTTACAGACATATTATTATACAATTATTGACTTTTTGTACGTTAATTCGAGGTTTTGTCGACCTGAGAAAGGTAATATTATGCTGTCTCGGGGAATATCATCTTTAGAAGCCTCACATTAACCAAAAAGTTAATAACTCTTTTGTTATATGACACGGCCTTTAAGCTGCGAGTTGAAAAAAAAACAAAAAATAGAATTGTTCAACAATTTCGATTTATTCTTATACTGTAAGAACAATGATATCTGTATTTTTATTGACTACGGATGCCTCCATTTGAAGCAACGTGAGTGTTTCTGGAATCGATTACACTCTCGAGCAGGGATAAGCTGGTTTCAGGTTAACATTGCATTTTGCCGAATCCTGTTGGAGACCTAGGAATTTCTCATAAATTTTCATACAAATTAAATAATTTTCATTTCAAACTATTTTCCATTCTTATTAGCTAATCATTCATCGTCTCAGTACAATAAACAGATAGAAGCAACTATGATCATAGGTGTGTAGCCGTTGTTTCCCCTACATCCTTTAATTACAGGTAAGGAAACTGTAATATGGATGGTCGGCAATATAGGCGTCGACATGTATTACTGTCAATTCCATCTTACTTTTAACAATAGTTTTAGAACTGACTTACACTGACAATTACCACTGTCTACAGCGACAGCAGTTACATATTTGTAATAAGTAGGATTTATCACGGAATTGATATATCTAAGTCCGTGGATTCATCAAGGAGAAATGTAACATTAAACAACACTCAGCTGGGTGATTAAAGGGAGGTAACTTTAATCTTTAACTTAATACAGAATCGTTGTAATCCGAATGCTAATATTAGGAGCCTGTTCTCAGAGTTTTCATCGGGCCCTGACAGACCACACGTGACATTCAATCCTAATTTATCATAGACACAACTGATGTCATCAGATGTTCAGTCCATGCCAATTGCCGTAATTAAGTTGGAAGATGGAGGACATTTTTTATTAGAATAATGTTTTATTACTATCATATGTAGCTGTAAATTAACATCAATATACGTACAGGTAGAGTGAACAGTATGTAGTTGGTTATTGTGACGTAATCGACTGTATGACATCATGGTGGAAGCACATCCTGGTTCATTAATGGTATTTTTCCTTCTTTTTCCTCATGCAGCTTCTCTAACAGGTTTGGGTCTTTATTTTCTTGTTCACTTGAGAAGTAGTACTACAGATTTTTCTTTCTTTGTTTATCTACGTGTCGACCGCTGTAGATTTTAACTTTGTTTGGGTGTCCTTTGGTGATGATTTAACAGACCATCGCCACGAGGATCCCCACTATGTCCAATATCCTTGGCAACTTTTCAATCGTAATTGTTGACATTTCCGACACGTTATAGAAACAAACCTAAGCTTCGGTTTTAACAGCATGAAGTAATGTGTGAACTTGCCGGTGACACCAAAATGAAGCTTCCAGATGTGTTTCACTATAGGGTGCGGACAATAACGATAAAGTAGTCAGTTTGACAATCCATATCTCTAGATATCAGCATACAATCGACCATCCGATCCTAATAAATAACATATCTTTATCTACAATTGCTTTTATATCTGCATCAACATTGAGATATTGTTTGTAGTTTGATTGGTGTACATCGTCATGATTGTAAAATGATGTATGAAATAACCTAAAATTTAGTATCAATATTAACACATTTCAACAAGTGGCAAAGGAAAAGTACCTCTAAATATGCAATCAAATTTTAAAGCCCCAATATTAACATCACCAAAAATATTCACACATACTTATTGAGATATTCTCTAAGATGTAGTTAAAATTAAGTTATTCAAACAATAGTTACCATGACTTTTGCATAAAGTTTGATATATGAGCAGTTGAAACTCGCTATTTGCCATCGAAATTACGATTGTTCATAACCTGTTTCTACTTCTAGAGGAAGCACATAACTACGGTAAGTTTTTGTTTACATTTTAAACACGCCGCCATCGAAATTACGATTGTTGCCGAAAGTTCATAACCTGATCTCGCGAGAGTTGAGGTTTCTACTTCTAGAGGAAGCACATGCAGATATGTCTACGGTAAGTTTTTGTTTACAAACATTGATTGCGAAGACTTGAGGTATTCCTGTGATATATTACGACGCACAATTATAACGTAAGAATTCAGAATTTGATGTATGATTGGAAAAAAAGGAAGCGACTGGTATTGTCCTGCCATGTTTACACATGTATGAATTATTGTGGGTCCCACATTTTTTATTTTCCGATTTTTTTCAATTTTTATTTAAATTGAAAACAGTCAGTTTTATTTTACTTTAATTAAAGGAAAGTATCTGTTTTGTTACATATATTACGGGGAAAATAAGATAAAGTTTGTTTTTTTATAGTGATTTTTACGTATATTGGGGCTTTAACTCTATTTCCCTTTTTGGCATAACAGTGGAATGAGCGCTTGATTATTATAACCGCTAAATCTATGTCAGTTTGCGGTATAAGAGATGCACATTACACAACACTATATTTAACTCAGCAGCAATACATTTCTGTTAACACAACGGCATACAAAGGCTTTCCTACAAATAATATATGTGGCGATATGAACCCGCAATTTCATGTGTATAGCACTGATTCAGTAATATTAAAATCAGTTTGATTTAAGTATCACTATTTTATCAATTTTCTAGATTATCTTGCTTTTTCCGTTATTAACAAATATATCATAAATTATCTATATCTAATACCGTATTAGAAGATATTGTATAAATGGAATAATCATTCTCTTTATTACATGAAAACTTACATCGTATCTGTCCAATATCACATTGATTTCATAGAAATCATTTCAATAGTCTTCCGAAGCATTTCTTCCCAGTTATCTCCCTTAGTCATTTCCTGTGATTTGGTTTCTTTTTCTAGGAGTGCCGTGACCTCAGCGTTTTCCTTTGGCGTCAGTCCAGATGAAAGAACAGCTTCCTGGAACTTCTTAACGGAAGCGGTTGCTATGATAACCCTGGGAGGGCGCTCTTCCTTGTTTTCTTTACTGAAACATGACAATAAATAATCCTAATGATAACGAAAATATCATGAGTGTTAATTTAAATGTTATAAGAGAATATTGATATTATCTTAAAATTCAGATATTTATTAATCGAAAATTCAACCCGTGTGTTTCTGTTTTCGCTATGCCATTATAGAGAACGACTTTTCATTGTAAGACATGTTGACAAAAAAGATTTAAAAAAAACTAATTATTAATTAATATTTCCACCTGTCTAGGTCCCTGTAGTGATAAGCCACGCCTATCGCTGTGTGGGGACACACGTAATACTGATTCTTCTCGAAAGCTCGACGCATTGTCTTTCTCACTACGTCATCGTTCACGACAAATGTGTCGACAATTACCTCCTTGGTCTGGAACGATACAACAACATGTGGTTTAAATCTGTTGATTTATTCAGTATGTTATAGAATGTCATTGTACTAGAGAAAGTTGTAAACGTTTCTTTTTTTAATTGGCTACTTGTTTTGCTGTAAATATTGTTTCATGCTACTTTTTGTGTTTTTTTTTATATTACCGCACAACCGCTCATTTTTCGCGCAAAAGGATATTTTCGCTATTTCGCGGTACATTGACGTGACTGCGAAAATTTAATCCATGGAACAATGAGAAACCTGTGTGTAAGATATTCTTTTACATCCAGATCGCGAAATTTTCATTAGTTAAAACATAATTCGATCATTTTATTAGAAAATCGCGAAAATTTTAACCGTGAAAATGACCAGCTACCCGGTATTTCTTTCTAATTCCCATGACAAATGAATACCAAATTCGTTTATTTAAAAAAAACCTACTTCAAGTGTACAACTTTCAGAAAAGTGGACGTTGTTGCTCAAATTGAAAATAAACGCGAATTATAGTTTTAAAAAATCAGGCCGGGCATGCTGAAGTCTACAACACCTTGTAATATATCACAAACTGTTGTTTAAGAAACATCAAGAAGCTATATGATTTCTCTCACGATATGCAGACCGATGTGTGGCTATGGACAAGGCAACTTAACAAACATGTCGTAATCGTTTATTTTGTTTATTTTCTATGACCGTAGATTCTGATCTGCCGATATTTCCACGGGCCGCACATTGGTCGGTTGTTAATGTCAACGATAATGTTTTGGGATCATAGGGTCATGCAATAACACATTGAAAAATATTGCCTCGAACGTTCTATTATACCATTCCCATTAATGTCACGAACGTTCTAATATATCAATACTATTAATGCTCCGAACGTTCTATTATACCATTGCCATTAATGTTCCGAACGTTCTATTATATCATTACCATTAATGTCCCGTGTGTTCTATTATATCATTACCATTAATGTCCCGTGTGTTCTATTATATCATTACCATTAATGTCCCGTACGTTCTTTCATACCATTGCCATTAATGCCCCGAACGTTCAATTATACCATTACCATTAATGCCCCGTACGTTCTATTATACCATTACCATTAATGTCCCGTACGTTCTATTATACCATTAAAATTAATGCCCCAAGCATAATATTATGCCATTTGCAGTATACCCAAGTAAATTTTGATGGTTTGTCCAGATGAAACGTTCGTTTAATTAATGATAGTAAGTAGATTACATCTGTCTTGGTATCTATGTTGGTATAATGTGAACTATCACACGTGTATAACTACCTTTTCAAGGATATCAGTTGGTACTTGGACCTTTCCTGTTCTTTCGAACTCGTCCATCATTGCCTTAATACGTGGAGCATCACCTCCGGTCATCATGCTCCAAATCCTCTCCATGTTATAGGGGATCTACAGTGTAACACAGACATTTATCACTGTCACTATTGGTAACACACATGAATTGATATGCAATATGGAAATCAATCATTTCCGTAATCTTCAAATGTCTGTTATTTTTAGAAAAACCTCAACTACAAGTGTGTATTCTAAACCGTGCCACTATTCGGACTCATTAAAACGTGGCTTGCAGGTTACGACAAACTTCAAAGACTAATATATTGGTTTTATTGATATATCAAATCACATAATATATGATAAAGGGGGCTAGAAAATAATGATCACGTTTTTCCTCGAAGGTTCACCAGGAGAGAATAGTGTGATATTTTAATGCTTGAGTGAGGATACTCCAGAATATTTTGCGATATATCTGGATTTTTTATCAAGATATCGATGTAATGAATGCTTAGGGAAGGGATAAAAAAATAGACTTTAGCCTGTTGCCTAATACACATAATTTTTTCCCAATAAAACCTATGTCAAATAAAAAATTAATGCCCCCTCTTTAAAAAAAAATTATCAATTTATAGAGAATACATGGTCAAGTGTCTTAAAATAAATACTGTATTTTGTCTTTCTGTCCCGAGCCAAAATAAAGCTTATATTTTAATGAATTTATCCTGTAACATTGATCAGAGTACTGAAACAAACAGATTTGTTGTTCAATCTGTGTTTACCTGACATTGACGTTACGCTGAATTTTGCCTGATGACGGTCGCCAAAGTAATTGCTCCGCGCGGAAAAACAGTTCCAAACTTCATCGGATATAACAGCGATTTTATTAGTTTTTTCATAAATCAAATTGTTCGTTGCAACATGTAAAATCGCTTATTTCAACAACTAATTCATTTCTTAACGTAATATGTCTGTAAATTCAGCGTAATTCTGTGGAAATACCGCACGTGCTAAATCCAGCTGTTTTCCGTCACTGCCAGTTGCAGGATAAAAATGAAATGTGATTTCGGTGGGTTACTGATATCGAATAGTTGGTGACGTTTTTGTCTTAGTACTCTAAATTACAATTTCAGCTACAATTCACTGTCAACTGTTTATTGATCTATATAACGTTAATGAATAGTTATTAACCTGTATGTCCATTGCTGTAGCTAGTGTTTGTGTGACAGTTTCGGCAGTGGAGAAGTCCCCGTCTCTTACGGTTCTTGCGACGATGTCATTGGTGGTAACGGCGCACACCAGACGTAGAGGCACGCCCATCATTCGTGCAAGACAGCCAGCTGTGTATACATGTTAGTTTCGTTAACTTTGTAAAAATATAACATCGAGGAGGAAACAAGAGTTAAACCATTTATTTACAAATAACAGTAGAAATAAATAAATATATACTCACATGTCACGTTGCCACAAGCTCCCGTCGGGATGACAATTTCAACCTCACTGTCACAACTTGGGCACATCTTGGTAACATAAATACTTTTATTTTAAAGAATAATGTTAGCTTGCTATCCTTGTCCTAACCCTGACTAAATCACAGCATCTACACAAATCGCCCATCACTGATATACATCAATTAACAATTACATATATATTGTGTACATTTTTGGATAGTGTCTCTTGTTCATCAATTAACTATTTCACCTTGACATAATATCTTATACGCCATGATTATTTTTGATGCATTAATTGCTCAGTTCCGAAATACGTCGATGATGACGTATTGGAGATGAGGGTAATGACGAAGTAATGATAGTGGTGGTGATGTTGAAGTGTAAGTAGTGGTGATACAGTGCAAGTGTTGATGACGTAGTTAAGTAGTGATGACGCAGTGCAAGTGGTGATGACGTAGTGTGGTCGTGAGGAAAGAATGAAACCCACCTGAAGATATGAGTAAATGTAGTGAGCCGTCTGCACCATCACACGCGCCCAGTTTATCGAATTGATAGAGGTAAGGTTGTGTTGCCGCTTGAAAGGTATGTCCATAAACACTCTTTTAATAGGAATGTCAAGGTCATCTGATGATCCATCTACTCGAAACACGTGGACATTGTCCTCTATCACAGAGGTCATTTGGTGTTCTTGGACACGAGAACAGCGTCCCTTTGGCAATAACACAACAATGTCTACCCATTTTAAGCCACGTATCGCTTCAATGGCTGCACTTCCGGTATCACCAGATGTCCCTACAAACATTGTAAATTCTATTGAACTTCGGAGATGTAAACATACTAATAAGTTGCCTGTAGTGACAAACATTCAAAAAACGATATCTGAATAAAATAAATGTTAAAACAACAACAACAATTAAAACAAAACAAGAGGGACATTGCCTTTAACGGTCATTTGACAATCAATGAATGGATGGACAAATCACAGAATTTGCAGATGATGGTTTGACAAAACTGATGAATTCAAATTATGAACATTCCTTGAAACTATCAGAAACTCATAGATGGTAAGTTATATATATGAAAAAGAGTTGCACAATCACGTTACTGTGGTTACAATTTGAAGTTTTGATCAAGCTGAAAAATAACATATCTCTTTCTTTTCCTAAAACACATCAAACTCCAGATAATTTTCTCACTGGTGATAATTGTGCGAATGCAACTTGAGAAGTAGTTCACACTATTTGTTCAAGATCAAATGTGTTGGATCTCGAAAAAATAACATTTGATCAGGAAAATCTCAGGATCATTTCGTGCACGTTTGATATCACTGTCGCCACTTCCTAATTATGTTACAGGCCAAATTTGGTTGGAATCTACCAAGGCATGAAGAAGGAGTAGAGTTTTTTTTTTATCAAAATATTGTCTAATTTCCCCTTCTGGAGCCCCGCCTTTAAGTTCATATGGGTCGAATCAACGTTCTGAATTTAAGAAATGATTCTCCACCCTCAATAATGTTTCTGACCAAATTTGGTTGAAGTTCATTCGAGCATTAAGGAAGAGTAGCGTTTTGAAGCAAAGTATTATCTGACTACCCTACTGGGGACCAATCCCCAGGTCCCTAAGGAACTTTCTCATTCTGAGAAATGATTCCCGATCCACAATGAGATTTCAGACTAAATTGAGTTGAAATCTGCCAAGGTGTAAAACAGGAGTAGTGTTGTAAAAGAAAAATTAACGGACCGGCGCACGACGACGGAGGATGCACGATAGGAATAGGTCATCTTTACCCTTCGGCTCAGATAACAAAACAAAAAGAAAACAAAACAAAAAATATGGCGACCGTGTTTGGTCACTATTCTCCCTTAAGACATTATAATATTGACTGTTTTGTGTTATATTAAAATAATCCAACATTCAACAAAACATCACCATCTTTTGATCCAATAGTTAAACGTTTTGGTTTGAAAAAAGATTGTGATCAAGGTTGCTTAAGTACCTTTTCCAATACCTCTTTGTACTGTGTGACCTGTCACGGAAACTCTTTATCTCAAGTCGAATTATGGTTAAATGATTTCTTTATCCAATGTGAAAATCGTTCCTGATTCAAGACACTTGTGTAATGCAGAAAACATCAAATGGAAGATGTTTTGATATTTGATATTTGTGGCAATCAAAAAGAAAACGTTCGAGATACCAGACTGGTGTCCTTAACTAGAGATATATCTGGATCAATTAACTTACCAACAATAATGGTCAAACGTTTCTGTCTTTTGTTTAGGAAGTATTCCAGGAACTGCCCTACACATGACAGTGCTAGGTCTTTGAAAGCCCAAGTGACCCCGTGGTAGAGTTCTATGATGTTGAGGCCGTCGTTGAGTTTTGATATCGGGGTTACATCTGGATGGGTGAATCGGCCAAACGCTTTGTCCAATAAACCTGAAATAATCGTAAAATGTAATGTATCAACAGTTCAGTTTTAGGTCTATCTTATAAGACTGGATCAAGTTTATAAGATAGATAATTGTAATTAACAGCATACCATTAAGGTTTTCCTTTGGAATCTCATCATCACCCACAAAGAACGGTATGATTTCTTTAACTAACTCGACATAAGATAGCTTGGACCAGGACTGGAGGGTGCTTTTAGTGATTGATGGAATGTTCTCCGGAAGCAGAATGCCACCATCTTCAGCATATCCGGTATAAAGAGCTTCCTCAAACGTAAGGCCCTTGACACCGCCTCGAGTACTACAGTACTTCATGGTGGATGAGGTAGGTAATAGTTTCGTCAAAGCACTGGCAAGTCTGTTCAATAGAGACACACGATGTTATGTCAGATACATTCGTAAATACTCGTGATGTAAAGTACTGCGATAAATATAATGGTAATGTACTCCACTCTAATCGAAGTTATCGAAAGAAAATTGAGAGCATAATTTTCGTAATGTGGTTTGTATGAAATTGAAGCAAAACTGAGTAATCTAATGAAAAATGGGATTTTTTGTTGTTCTTGGTGGGCATCGATCCGGAAAACTTGTTACTGGGCTAGGTCATAAGTAATAAAATATAGGCCTTGATATCACTTAAGATTCCGCGTGCTCTATAAAGACGGTAAATCTACGTGTTTTATGTTACGATTAACAGCAAAAACGATCTGAACATTTTCAACTTAGTACAATAAAATTACGTATCATTATATACGCTATTGTGTTTGCTCACATTCACTGGTGTCACCGCCTTCCGTGTCGTTCGTTATCTAGGTCGAAAGGGTATATCGTTACCTTTGATCACGCACATTTATGTGGACAGCCCGACTTGTGCTGTTTCAACAAGACATATCAGTCTTAAAACATATTGTATTTGCATTTTATACGGAAACTACCATTGCAAAGGTTGGCAGAACTAAGTTCAATTAGCTGGGTTTACTTCGTTATAATGTTTAACAAATTTAGTTACGAAACGAAAGGGTTGGATTGCGATAAACGAAAGCGGCCTTGACCATGGTTTTGTCCGCACAGTTTAAGTAATATTAGATTGAAGCAGAGGTGCCCTGATTTAGGCAGTCTATCCTATATAGCAGATAAAAACACTGGCAAGCATTTTCCAACAGTAACATTTTCCATGTAACGTGTAACGCCATGACGCGTGTATAATCTGCACAAATGGGAAAGTCTGTGATATGCTATTCAAATGCACCTATATGGGTGTATTTGGGAGGAGTATTTAGTATCTTCGTGATCATCTCGAAAATTGTTATCACACATCAGAGACGTATAAATCACACATGTAGAATGCCTATGATGCGTATACTTACTAGTGTTGCAAGGGAAACTCTCGCAGAATCCTAGACTTCTCCTTCCATACCTGATCCACTTTTGATACAGATACACGCGAAGCATGTACAGAGCTTATAATAATGATGAATCGAAGTGTGCTAAATATGGAATGAAAATTAAGACTATACTCTGAGTAAACTTTATCTTAACACATAGCTAAAATTCAATCTAAAATGCTCCAAATTCTGCTAAGATATTCATAGTGTTCAGCTTCGTGTTTAAATATTACCATCATTATGTTAGAAGGTTTTTTCATATTCAAATTAATCATAAGAGCATGAACAGACGAACACATAGGAAAAAGGGGAAATATCCAACTTTTAAAGAATAAATTAAATAATGAAAAAGTGAATATACAAATGTGATATGTAGTCCGTGGTCATTGGACCAGCCGAGTTGTTCGTTTATTAAAGAAGGACGGATCTAATTATTTTATTTCACTTTCAGACGGGTTTGAGTAAGATTTTTGCTGCCTGTGTATCAAATTTGTAGCTCCGTTCAGATTTATGTTTGAAATTTTATATTTACGGCAGCATAAACAAACAAACAAACTTTTAAAACACAGCACTAACCTCGGCAATGGCAACCCAAACACGCCAAAGAAATTGCCGTCTCTCGTCTTTTCATCTTCATGACGATAATTCTAGAGATTTCCGAAGGTACTGAAAAACAAAGATGGCGACGATGGGCAGCATGTGCTTGCGGTCTGCGAACCGAATGGCCAACATTACCCGGTCATATATTCTTCGCACACAGCATATGAGGTGAATATGATAATCATATTTTTATCAGCCGTTTGTGCGACATGTCGTTCTTGCCAGCATCTATACTGAATTAAAGGTTTTCATTCGCTCAAATGATGATCATAGCAAAGTGAAGGTTACATCAGAATTTATATAACGGCGTTTTATAAGTAGATATTACAAATTTATATTCAGTATAGAACAGTTTGACATCTATGAATTCAATTTTGCTTACTTAATTCATAGTGTAAGTGTCTTAACGTGTGGCTATTGTTGATAATATAGTGTGACCCTTCAATGTCAGCTTGTTGAAATTGAGGAATTAAGTAAAGTTGGGGCCCGGCAAATCTGGCTAAAGAGGCAAATTTGGCTATGGCGTCAGATCTTATTGTACTTATAAAGGGCAAATATAAACAATCTAACCATATAGAGTCGAGATCATGGTGTGCACATCGAAAAAAATGAACGAATGTCTAATGAGTTGAACCAGTGAAACGAATGATTTTTGTCTTAAAGAACACCATTTACAGTGAGTTAGTTGAATTTCGACATTGTAAATATTGATGCTTATATCCATTTATACACCTGTTGCAGTGGTGATACAGGAAAGATCCTTATTTCATTATCAAATCGCCACATATCTCACTTACTACCGCCACATAAATCACATTCATTGCATGTTGTAATATGATTGCCTGGAAACATCATTCTGAAAGCACACTCAAAGCCCAAATCTGCATCAAAGAGATACTTATCTGTAGACAAAAAATAAAAATGAATGATGACATCGGATTGACCTAATATAGAGTTTGTTACTAAGTGGGGAGTGTACATGAAAAAAATATGAAAAAAATGAAACAATGAAATTCCAAACAAAATACTTAAGCACATATGCAAAAAGTTGTCATTTCACTAACATATCTGTTTTTTTATCCATTCTTTGACCTACACAAATGAAATATGACCAGACCTAACCTGTATGTTTACATTTGCCCTACATATGTTCAGTCAGATTTGACAGTAAGGTTAAATTCTGTCAAGCCAGATTTGACAGTGTTCCAGTAGTTGATGTTGAAGACAGTCATTTTATGGAATTATACAGGAACCTGAAATTCTAACTGTGAAAGCAATCCCATTTTAGAAGTGGAAAAATCGTAATATCTAGCAAGCTAAATATATATACGTATGACATCAGCACTTCCCACACTTATTATTTTAAATCTTGACTTACTTTTACATTTTTATATGAAATTAGTCAGGGTAGACTATGATGTAGATTTCACAGATAGAAGTCCAATTCCTTTGGTATTGTCAGTGTAAAAGGTTTTAAATGCTAAGTATGGTCACAGTCACTCAGCTGACAGAGCATGCACATGCCTCTTTAGCACAGTTGCATTTGATAGAGTCATAGATTATCATGCTGGAGACCCAGACTGGAATCCTTTTCGGACTGTTGGCAGAAATGTGTTTTTCTCTATTTCAATTGCATGTAACAAAATCAAAACAGGTTTTGGTATTAAAAGTTTTGATTGAGATTTTTTTAGGAAATATCAAGAGAAATAGGTGGTGTAATGTAAAAGGAACAAGTCAACGTGTCTTGTACATCGTGTTAAATACTGTCTATCACTCAGCTTTGACTCAGATGATAGAATTCTGGATTATCACACAAAAGACCTGGGTTCAATTCCTGTCAGGGCTCTCAGCTTGAATGAGTTCTTTTTCCTGATGTATTACACAAGTATATTCTAATATAAGTAAAAAGAAATCATAGTTGTACTGTTGAGTCATGATGCGCGAGTACAAGTCCAAAAGCAAATTATTTCCTTAATTTAAGTATGTACATTGAAAGTGGGGGATGTGATACAAGATCATTCAGAATTAAAGGACCAATTTAATGAAGTTTAGAATGATTTTTTTACCAAATTACTAATTTCCTATAATCTAGTTCAAAATATCCTTGAAACAAATTCATGTGGAAATATTCACCGAAGATACAGCATATATTATATGCAATAAGAGGGTACACTAGATACAGCTTGTTGACTGGAGACAGATGTCTGGTGCGAAGCACTGTGAAGGCAATACACACAGATGTCTGGTGCGAAGCACTGTGAAAGCGATGCACACAGATGTCTGGTGCGGAGCACTGTGAAGGAGATACACACAGATGTCTGGTGCAGAGCACTGTGAAAGTGATACACACAGATGTCTGGTGCAGAGCACTGTGAAAGCGATACACACAGATGTGCGGTGGGGAGCACACAGTGTGAAAGTGATACACACAGATGTCTGGTGCGGAGCACTGTGAAGGAGATACTCACAGATGTCTGGTGCAGAGCACTGTGAAGGAGATACACACAGATGTCCGGTGCGAAGCATTGTGAAGGAGATACACACAGACGTCTGGTGTAGAGCACACGGTGTGAAAGCGATACACACAGATGTGCGGTGGGGAGCACACAGTGTGAAAGTGATACACACAGATGTCTGGTGCGGAGCACTGTGAAGGAGATACTCACAGATGTCTGGTGCAGAGCACTGTGAAGGAGATACACACAGATGTCTGGTGCAGAGCACTGTAAAGGAGATCCACACAGATGTCCGGTGTGGAGCACTGTGAAAGTGATACACACAGATGTCAGGTGCGAAGCATTGTGAAGGTGATACACACAGATGTCTGGTGCGAAGTACTGTGAAAGTGATACACACAGATGTCTGGTGCGAAGCACTGTGAAAGCGATACACACAAATGTCCGTGGGGAGCACACGGTGTGAAAGCGATACACACAGATGTCTGGTGCAGTGTACTTTGAAAGCGATGCACACAGATGTCCGGTGTGGAGCACACGGTGTGAAAGCGATACACACAGATGTGCTGTGGGGAGCACACGGTGTGAAAGTGATACACACAGATGTCTGGTGCAGAGCACTGTGAAAGCGATACACACAGATGTTTGGTGTGGAGCACACGGTGTGAAAGCGATACACACAGATGTCTGGTGCGAAGCACTGTGAAAGCGATACACACAGATGTCTGGTGCAGAGCACTGTGAAGGAGATACACACAGATGTCTTGCTGTCATCATACTGTCATATATCAGATTCGCATCCGATTTTACTAGAGACCATTGTAGGACATTGTTTTTAATGTTTTGTACTTTTGAATCATTGATATGGATGATATGCTTGATATTTAGAAAAATAAAATAAAATAGATTCTGTGATTCCTAGCGATGATTTAAAATGTTTTACATAGCACTTCAATCAATTTTGCATTTTCATATTTTTTTTTTTTTAAGATCAAATTTGAGACAATGTACGACAACAACCACAGAAAAAAATAATAATACAACAGAGCCTCCTGGATCCAAAATGGACAAGTCAGCAGAGAAGCCTGAGACCAAACAAGATGAGAAAACTTCAGCTGCATCAGAAGCTGAAGCAACACTTAAGAAAGAAAAAGAAAAATTGGAGGATACTGTGAAAGACATGAAGGTACCAGGGTTATTTCATAGACTTAGAAGACGTGTTTGGCCTACAGATGAGACTTATGTTCAAAGACTGTGGCCATTTTCTCGACGGAAATATGTGCCGCAGGTACAAATTACAATTATTATTTATCAAACTGGCTATCTTTAGTATTAGCAATATTACAGATGATGATATCAGAATGTTGTTTGTGTTCTCATATCATTGCCTTGACTGATAAATAATAATTTTCCTACAGTTTTGTACCATGACTAATATCTGCTGGGATAGTTTTATTGTTTACTTGAACGTGATACCAAAGTAAATGTGATTACATGACTTTACTATCTGTTAAGTAGTCATTCTAGTTAGCATACATTGGCTGGATATCAGTGTGACACTGTAGTTTTTACTCTTAAAGTTTCCTATATTTTGTGATATTTGCAATTATTCATTGACCTACATCGTGGGATGGAAGACCTTTTTGGCATGCAAGGAACATAAAGGTGTACAGTACATATTTTGCTTTTTGGTAGAACATGATAGGCCATGATTTAATGGATCTAGATCTGCATTCAATTTACAAAAGATGATTGTGGGAACAAATCATCACATTCATACATGCTTATACCAATTGAAAGACAATACAAAAAATAGTAGTGATAAAATGGAAGAACATAATAAAAAATGACTCGAACTTTCATGGCAATCAAGTTGATAACTGGTATTTTTCAACCCCGGTCTCTGAGTAAGTGAGTCAGTCATTGAGTAAGAGGATATATTAGCCACACCTTAAAATTTTGTCTCGGACTGCATACATATTCTGACAATAAATGTACATGTATTATACCAAGATAAATAACATTCTGAAATGAATTGTACATTATAGGACAAATACATTCGAGCATTAGCAGAAACTGAGAATGTGAGACAGCGAATGAAGAAACAAGTAGACGATGCAAAGATTTTTGGAATTCAAGGATTTTGTAAAGATTTGCTGGAGGTTGCTGACATTTTGGGAAAGGCCACAGAAAGTGTACCAAAAGAGGAGGTGAAAGATGAAAACATTCATTTAAAGAATCTGTTTCAAGGACTTACTATGACAGAATCACAGTTATTGAAGGTGTTTAACAAACATGGACTGGAGCAGATAACCCCTGCTGAAGGTGAAAAGTTTGATCCATTTATTCATGAAGCTATGTTTGAAGTACCTACTGCAAATCAGGAGGCTGCATCTACTATTGCAGTCACAACAAAAGTAGGGTACAAACTATCTGATAGAACTATCAGACCAGCCCTTGTTGGAGTGTTCAAAGCAACATGATCATCAAAACTTTGGAAAGATATTTTGATTTAAACTAAGTCAATACATTTCTTGTTAGGTATACTGTCAGTGCATTTAGAGAAAAGTTTATTGTAAACACGGAAAAAAATCATGAATGCAATCACAGGCAGAGTTATACATTACCTTGGACAGAAGACTTCATGTACATACCACTGTATACAATTAGTTTTATAGGATATTTTCTGGTAAGTCATGAGCACTATTTCCAAAATCTTGATTAGTCCAAGTACAAAGAGATATAGGAGGTTCCAGGCCCCAGAAACATGAAACGATCTTCAATCTAAAACTTTCTGGAGTTGTCACATGTGATTGGCTAAGCAATATAACAAACAAGTGTTCTGCTCTGTGTGACATTGTATACTATAGGGGGAGAAGTTTGGGGTGGTGGGTTGGGGTGAGGTCTGTTATCTAAAATATAACAAGTGTTCTGCTCTGTGTGACATTGTATACTATAGGGGGAGAAGTTTGGGGTGGTGGGTTGGGGTGAGGTCTGTTATCTAAAATATAACAAACAAGTGTTCTGTTCTGTGTTACATTGTATACTATAGGGGGAGAAGTTTGGGGTGGTGGGTTGGGGTGAGGTCTGTTATCTAAAATATAACAAGTGTTCTGCTCTGTGTGACATTGTATACTATAGGGGGAGAAGTTTGGGGTGTTGGGTTGGGACGAGGTCTGTTATCTAAAATATAACAAGTGTTCTGCTCTGTGTGACATTGTATACTATAGGGGAGAAGTTGGGGTGAGGTCTGTTATCTGAAATATAACAAACAAGTGTTCTGCTCTGTGTTACATTGTATACTATAGGGGGAGAAGTTTGGGGTGGTGGGTTGGGGTGAGGTCTGTTATCTAAAATATAACAAGTGTTCTGCTCTGTGTGACATTGTATACTATAGGGGGAGAAGTTTGGGGTGGTGGGTTGGGGTGAGGTCTGTTATCTAAAATATAACAAGTGTTCTGCTCTGTGTAACATTGTATACTATAGGGGGAGAAGTTGGGGTGAAGTCTGTTATCTAATATATAACAAACAAGTGTTCTGCTCTGTGTGACATTGTATACTATAGGGGGAGAAGTTTGGGGTGGTGGGTTGGACGAGGTCTGTTATCTAAAATATAACAAACAAGTGTTCTGCTCTATGTGACATTGTATACTATAGGGGGAGAAGTTTGGGGTGGTGGGTTGGGGTGAGGTCTGTTATCTAAAATATAACAAGTGTTCTGCTCTGTGTGACATTGTATACTATAGGGGGAGAAGTTTGTTGTGGTAGGTTGGGGTGAGGTCTGTTATCTAAAATATAACAAGTGTTCTGCTCTGTGTGACATTGTATACTATAGGGGGAGAAGTTTGGGGTGGTGGGTTGGGGTGAGGTCTGTTATCTAAAATATAACAAACAAGTGTTCTGTTCTGTGTTACATTGTATACTATAGGGGAGAAGTTTGGGGTGGTGGGTTGGGGTGAGGTCTGTTATCTAAAATATAACAAGTGTTCTGCTCTGTGTGACATTGTATACTATAGGGGGAGAAGTTTGGGGTGGTGGGTTGGGACGAGGTCTGTTATCTAAAATATAACGAGTGTTCTGCTCTATGTGACATTGTATACTACAGGGGGAGAAGTTTGGGGTGAAGTCTGTTATCTTAAATATAATAAACAAGTGTTCTGCTTTGTGTTACATTGTCTACTATAGAGGGAGAAGTTTGGGGTGGTGGGTTGGGGTGAGGTGTGTTATCTAAAATATAACAAACAAGTGTTCTGTTCTGTGTTACATTGTATACTATAGGGGAGAAGTTTGGGGTGGTGGGTTGGGGTGAGGTCTGTTATCTAAAATATAACAAACAAGTGTTCTGCTCTGTGTGACATTGTATACTATAGGGGGAGAAGTTTGGGGTGGTGGGTTGGGGTGAGGTCTGTTATCTAAAATATAACAAACAAGTGTTCTGCTCTGTGTGACATTGTATACTATAGGGGGAGAAGTTTGGGGTGGTGGGTTGGGGTGAGGTCTGTTATCTAAAATATAACAAACAAGTGTTCTGCTCTGTGTGACATTGTATACTATAGGGGGAGAAGTTTGGGGTGGTGGGTTGGGGTGAGGTCTGTTATCTAAAATATAACAAGTGTTCTGCTCTGTGTGACATTGTATACTATAGGGGGAGAAGTTTGGGGTGGTGGGTTGGGGTGAGGTCTGTTATCTAAAATATAACAAACAAGTGTTCTGCTCTGTGTGACATTGTATACTATAGGGGGAGAAGTTTGGGGTGGTGGGTTGGGGTGAGGTCTGTTATCTAAAATATAACAAACAAGTGTTCTGCTCTGTGTGACATTGTATACTATAGCGGGAGAAGTTTGGGGTGTTGGGTTGGGACGAGGTCTGTTATCTAAAATATAACAAACAAGTGTTCTGCTCTATGTGACATTGTATACTATAGGGGGAGAAGTTTGGGGTGGTGGGTTGGGGTGAGGTCTGTTATCTAAAATATAACAAACAAGTGTTCTGCTCTGTGTGACATTGTATACTATAGGGGGAGAAGTTTGGGGTGGTGGGTTGGGGTGAGGTCTGTTATCTAAAATATAACAAGTGTTCTGCTCTGTGTGACATTGTATACTATAGGGGGAGAAGTTTGAGGTGGTGGGTTGGGGTGAGGTCTGTTATCTAAAATATAACAAGTGTTCTGCTCTGTGTGACATTGTATACTATAGGGGAGAAGTTGGGGTGAAGTCTGTTATCTAATATATAACAAACAAGTGTTCTGCTCTGTGTGACATTGTATACTATAGGGGGAGAGGTTTGGGGTGTTGGGTTGGGACGAGGTCTGTTATCTAAAATATAACAAACAAGTGTTCTGCTCTATGTGACATTGTATACTATAGGGGAGAAGTTGGGGTGAGGTCTGTTATCTAAAATATAACAAACAAGTGTTCTGCTCTGTGTTACATTGTATACTATAGGGGGAGAAGTTTGGGGTGGTGGGTTGGGGTGAGGTCTGTTATCTAAAATATAACAAACAAGTGTTCTGCTCTGTGTGACATTGTATACTATAGGGGGAGAAGTTTGGGGTGGTGGGTTGGGGTGAGGTCTGTTATCTAAAATATAACAAACAAGTGTTCTGCTCTGTGTGACATTGTATACTATAGGGGGAGAGGTTTGGGGTGTTGGGTTGGGACCAGGTCTGTTATCTGAAATATAACAAACAAGTGTTCTGCTCTGTGTGACATTGTATACTATAGGGGGAGAAGTTTGGGGTGAGGTCGGTTATCTAAAATATAACAAGTGTTCTGCTCTGTGTTTCATTGTATACTATAGGGGGAGAAGTTTGGGGTGGTGGGTTGGGGTGAGGTCTGTTATCTAAAATATAACAAACAAGTGTTCTGCTCTGTGTGACATTGTATACTATAGGGGGAGAAGTTTGGGGTGGTGGGTTGGGGTGAGGTCTGTTATCTAAAATATAACAAACAAGTGTTCTGCTCTGTGTTTCATTGTATACTATAGGGGGAGACGTTTGGGGTGGTGGGTTGGGGTGGGGTCCGTTATCTAAAATATAACATTTGTTCTTCTCTGTGTGACATTGTATACTATAGGGGGAGAAGTTCGGTGTGGTGGGTTGGGGTGAGGTCTGTGATCTAAAATATAACAAACAAGTGTTCTGCTCTGTGTGACATTGTATACTATAGGGGGAGAAGTTTGGGGTGGTGGGTTGGGGTGAGGTCTGTTATCTAAAATATAACAAGTGTTCTGCTCTGTGTGACATTGTATACTATAAGGGGAGAAGTTTGGGGTGGTAGGTTGGGGTGAGGTCTGTTATCTAAAATATAACAAGTGTTCTGCTCTTTGTGACATTGTATACTATAGGGGGAGAAGTTTGGGGTGAGGTCTGTTATCTAAAATATAACAAACAAGTGTTCTGCTCTGTGTGACATTGTATACTATAGGGGGAGAAGTTTGGGGTGGTGGGTTGGGGTGAGGTCTGTTATCTAAAATATAACAAACAAGTGTTCTGCTCTGTGTGACATTGTATACTATAGGGGGAGAAGTTTGGGGTGGTGGGTTGGGGTGAGGTCTGTTATCTAAAATATAACAAACAAGTGTTCTGCTCTGTGTGACATTGTATACTATAGGGGGAGAAGTTTGGGGTGGTGGGTTGGGGTGAGGTCTGTTATCTAAAATATAACAAACAAGTGTTCTGCTCTGTGTGACATTGTATACTATAGGGGGAGAAGTTTGGGGTGGTGGGTTGGGGTGAGGTCTGTTATCTAAAATATAACAAACAAGTGTTCTGCTCTGTGTGACATTGTATACTATAGGGGGAGAAGTTTGGGGTGGTGGGTTGGGGTGAGGTCTGTTATCTAAAATATAACAAACAAGTGTTCTGCTCTGTGTGACATTGTATACTATAGGGGGAGAGGTTTGGGGTGTTGGGTTGGGACCAGGTCTGTTATCTGAAATATAACAAACAAGTGTTCTGCTCTGTGTGACATTGTATACTATAGGGGGAGAAGTTTGGGGTGGTGGGTTGGGACGAGGTCTGTTATCTAAAATATAACAAACAAGTGTTCTGCTCTATGTGACATTGTATACTATAGGGGGAGAAGTTGGGGTGAAGTGTGTTATCTAATATATAACAAACAAGTGTTCTGCTCTGTGTGACATTGTATACTATAGGGGGAGAAGTTTGGGGTGGTGGGTTGGGGTGAGGTCTGTTATCTAAAATATAACAAGTGTTCTGCTCTGTGTGACATTGTATACTATAGGGGGAGAAGTTTGGGGTGGTGGGTTGGGGTGAGGTCTGTTATCTAAAATATAACAAACAAGTGTTCTGCTCTGTGTGACATTGTATACTATAGGGCGAGAGGTTTTTGGGTGTTGGGTTGGGACAAGGTCTGCTATCTAAGATATAACAAACAAGTGTTCTGCTCTATGTGACATTGTATACTATAGGGGGAGAAGTTTGGGGTGAGGTCTGTTATCTAAAATATAACAAACAAGTGTTCTGCTCTGTGTGACATTGTATACTATAGGGGGAGAAGTTTGGGGTGGTGGGTTGGGGTGAGGTCTGTTATCTAAAATATAACAAACAAGTGTTCTGCTCTGTGTGACATTGTATACTATAGGGGGAGAAGTTTGGGGTGGTGGGTTGGGGTGAGGTCTGTTATCTAAAATATAACAAACAAGTGTTCTGCTCTGTGTTACATTGTATACTATAGGGGGAGAAGTTTGGGGTGGTGGGTTGGGGTGAGGTCTGTTATCTAAAATATAACAAACAAGTGTTCTGCTCTATGTGACATTGTATACTATACGGGGAGAAGTTGGGGTGATGTCTTATCTA